TGTGGGTGTGGCCTCCTTTGTGGGAGTGGCTTGCTTGCCATGTGACCTGGTGGGAGTGGCTTGCTGGCCATGTGACCTGGTGGGAGTGGCTTTCCGGCCCTGTGTTTTCTCTCTCTTTCCTTCCTTTTGTCTCTCTGTCCCTTTTTCTTTTTTTCTTTCATCTCTCTCTCACTTTTTTCTTTCTTTCTTTCTTTCTTTCTCTTTCTCTGTGTGAGTCTGTCTGTGTGTGTGTGTGTGTGTCAGTGGTGGGTTTCAAAAATTTGACGAACCGGTTCTACCGAACTGGTGCGAACTGGTAGGAACCCACCTCTGCGGTGGGCTGAATTTCAGCCCCCCCTCTTAAGCCCAGCTGCAAGGACTGCCCTGGCTAGTGCTGATGAGCTCTGTAGTCCCACGTCCCTGATTGGGGAAGAGGACTGACTGTTCATGCAGCCAGCCCATCTCGCTTCCCCAAATGCTCAAAAGCAGAAGTGGCTTCGCTCATAAATATTTCAGGCTGCCAAAGACCACTTCCGGGGAGGGCGGAGAGGGGGGGAAGATCTCCAATGGGCTCCTCTTGCAAGGCTGCATAGCAGGTTCCGCCAGGGGGGCTGCGTAGAAGAGAAGCTTTTGCTTTTCTTGGGAAATCCAGCCTGCGAGAGGGGGGGGGGCGGAAAGGCGTGTTCCCAAGCGAACCCACCCTGCCACCTTCCCCTCTCCCCAGGCAGGAGCTGGCATGAGGCCAGGCCGGGCTTGGCACCGCCGGCAATTTCCCAGAAGAAGCCGCTGATTCATGAAGCCAAAACCAACAAGGAGTGGAAAAGTTAAAGGCTGCCTCCTCTCCGAACAAAGGAGATTCTTTGGCCCTGGAAGTGGGAAGAGTTTGGAACGGGGGGGGGGGGAATGGAAGAACTGAGGGGCCCCAGGAGAGCCTCTTGGCAGAGAACCTGCTGAGCCTGTTGGTCAGAGAAGCCCATTCTGGGCTGGAGGACACGTGGACGGACGGACGGAGGGACACGCCCAGGGCAGCCTTGCAGCCACTCGATGGAGGAATGCTGTTAATTGCCCTCAGTGGCCCTTTAAAGGAGAATATTTGCAGGCGGGGGCTGAACTGGGTCCTTCTTGAGACTCTCTGAGCTGGGTTCTTAACATCATCAGTGCTACAAGGGAGTGGGGTGCTGACTTTTTGAGCCTGCCCTATCTACATTTCCGGGGGGAATAGCAATAGCAATAGCAGTTAGACTTATATACCGCTTCATAGGGCTTTCAGCCCTCTCTAAGNGCCAGTTGTTTCGCCGGATTTGGCATTGGATACTAGTCGGGCCCCATACAGGGGTCTTGGACGCCGTAATGTATTTTCGTAATATGCGTGCAGATCCAAGCAGTGCGGCTTTTTGCATTTGACTGATGGTGATTTTGTCAATTCTTAACTGTTTTAAATGTATTATTATTATTTGCATTTGATTTTAGTTATAGGACAATATCGGTTTCTCAACAACTAGTAAACTCATCATTTCAACCAGCTGCTATTATTCACCATAATGGACTTGACGTGAATTCTATTTTGCATTGGGACGTTGTGAAATTATATCAATTTATATAGCTTTGACAGCTGGATTGGTGCAAATCTTGCTCTGTTCAAATAGGGCTCCTAAATAAATTTCTGGCGAAAAGTAACCTAGATATATTTTTTTTGCCAAAATAATGTCAACTGTTTCACCCTGATTCAAGTGTCACTCATGGCTTCCCGTGGATAGCATCTCACATGTTGGCTCTTTTTTCCTTTTTTTTAACAAGAAATCCATCATTTTTCTGCTTTTCCATTTAATACTAGAGGCTACAACAGGAAGTAAAACTCTTAGCATTTTAATAGTTAGGATCTTAGCGTGCTCTTTTCCTTTCATTGCAATTCTAAACACACCACCCTTGTAATAAATGCCGTTCCTTTAAGGGGTGGTTTGTGAAGGCTTAATCCTAAATAAAGTTGAATATAAATTCCACGGAGACTGGTGCTTGCATGCAGAAGCCCAACAATATTTTTTCTCTGCACGCAAATCTTTTTGGATGTACACATGCCTTTTTTTATCTATCATCTATACATGTGGATACGCACACTTTAAATAATAAATGTCTGACAATCCTGAAATGCATGTAAGTATGATGTTAAGATGACAAAAGCTTTTTTTTTTACCCCTTCAGGGAAAAATACTCTCCTATTTGGAACAGCCAGTACTAATTTGTATAATTCTAAAATCCTCTATTTATCTATTTTGAACGTGGAGGAAAATAAGCTGCACCCTCAATTGTTTGGAGTCTGTGATATTAATAGATGGGGGGGGGGAAAGGGGGCTAAATTCTTTACAATCTCATGCATGGAGGCAGAAATCCTGCGAAGTTTAATTTCCAATTGCCTTTAATTCAGGCGGGCTTCAAATTAAGCATAATTTATAGCGGCAAATCTGCACCCACAGACCCCACTGAAATGCATCCCCTAGCTGAAAAAGTTATCATTATTCCCAAGAGAATGGTTGGAACTTTTAAACTGTATCATACCTAATAGGTATTCATGTCATTGAGTTTTAAATCCCGAGTAAACATGGATAGATCGGTTGTTTGGAAGCAGTTTAAGAGAAAGGAAGGGAAGAACGACAGGAATGACTTTGGGCAGGTAACTGCTTTTTCCCATTGTCCCGACATTAAAAATGTCCAAGCTGGACATAAATAAGTAAACCAGCTTAATTAAAGACTTTTCTCTCCCTATTAAAAATTTAAAAGTGCTCTTGAGTATAAATAGGCCATTTTGAAAGGGAGCAAAAGATACACTCGCAGCCACCAATAATTGGAAAATTGTTGCTTTTACAGGGATCTTGAATAACACCCCGGCACCATAAATTACTCTAATTTTGCTCTGTTCTGTAAAGGGCATCTTTAAATGCTAGTGATTCTTTGCAAGAGTCACCTGAACTCCGAGAGCGGAATTTTTATTGTTGTTTTTTTGGTACATGAATTGCAATACTTTAGGTAAACACTTGCTTTTCTCGCGTTAAAATTACCCATTTTACCCATAACATTCTACGCAGACAGGGGCAGGGGGCATGTTTTAATACTTCTACGAGGAAATGGAGTGAGGAAAAAAAATGGGATAAAGGCCGCAGAACCGAAAGTGTCCATCTTGGACACTTTAAGACATGTGGGTTTCAATTCCCAGAATTGTGCCAAGCTGCCCCCTCCCTCTGCTATAGACCAACCCATAGGATTCTACTTTGTGTAAAAAGATATCAGCTGCAAGGCCAGAGTATCTCCAACCAAGAGTGGGGCTATCTCCCAGCTTGAAAAACTGGAAAATTAGCCCCCTATGGGATGTTGATTCCTTTGTCCACTTGGAAGGGACAATATAGATTTGGAAGGGACATTGGAGGTCATCTAGTCCAACCCCCCATCCAAGCAGGAGACCCTACACCATTTCTGACAGATGGCAGTCCAGTCTCTTCTTGAAAGCTTCCAGGGATGAAGCTCCTACAAGCTGCTCCGTTGGTTGATTGGTCTCATTGTCAGGAAATTTCTCCTTAGTTCCAGGTTGAATCTCTCCTTGTTCAGTTTCCATCCATTCTTCCTTGTCTGGCCTTGGGGTGCTTTAAAAAACAGGCCGACCTCCCCTCCTCTCTGTGGCAGCCCGTCAAATATTGGAAGGCTGCTGTCCTGTCTCCCCCTGGTCCTTCTTTTCATTGAACTAGCCATGCCCAGCTCCTGCAACCCACCCGTTCTTCGTATGTTTGAGCCTCCAGTCCCCTCATCCTCCCCGTTGCTCTCCTCTGTAGAGACTCAACATCTTTTTTTAATCTGATTTTTTTTTATTGCAAACCCGGCTTCTTTGGGACTTGCTCCCACACCCTGGATGGAGGCTCAAAGAAAGATTTTTTAAAAATTGTACTTTTGGGAATGATTTTCGTTAGAGCAAATTCTTAGATATAAAAGTGTTTGCAGCTATTAAGCCAAGAGCCATCTGCTTTGCCTTGAGCGCCACCTGGTGGACATATGTTGTACCTGCATGCTTTGCTGGTACTATAAATTGCCCTGGAAAAGCAGAACATTTCTTGCTAAAATACAATTTTCTCTGCAGGTGGAGGAATGTGGCTGCGAACTAGCAGATGCGGGCAGACGGCTGCTTCCAATTACTTATCAATCAGTAATTGATCGGCCCTTCAAAGTCAAAAGGGCACTGAAAAAAATGACTCGCAACCAGTCCTCACACTTACGACCGTAAGTTGCAACATCCTCGGTAGCCGGCAGATATTTACAGTGGCTGCAGCATCCTGGGGTCAAGTGATCCCCACTTACAACCTTCCCAGCCAACTTCTGACAAGTCAAGAGGGGGAAACCAGATTGGCTCAACAATCACCTGATTCACTGAACTGCAATGATTCGCTTAACAACCATGGCAATAAAAGGTTGTGTAATTAAGACCCATTAAACAGACCCCCCCTTGCTTCGCAACAGACATTATGGTCACACTTGTGTTTGTAAGTTAAGGACTCGCTGTGTTCCCCTCTTGCCCCTCCCTTAGGAACAAGCTTTTTCCCTTGGGGTCAAAGCACAGGGGACAAATCTGCTTACTGAAGACCCCCCCCACTTGCTGGAAAAATGCCCCTTCCTCCCTTCTTCTCTCTCGGCACACACAGACTGGCAGGATTGTTTTTGTGAACTGGTGTCAGAAACTGGGCGGCTGTTTTAAGACAGAATCAAGAAGAGAAAGATTGCAGAGTCAAAATATGTGCCTAAAGATGCTACAATCGTAGAATCAGGGTTGGAAGGGACCTTGGAGGTCTTCTAGACTGACCCCTTGCTCAGGGCAACCCCATGCAGTTCATAGATTTTATGTTCTTGGTTTTCATGGAATCAGGGTTGGAAGGGACCTCAGAGGTCTTCTAGTCCAACCCCCTGCTCACGGCAGGAGTCCTTATCTCATCCCAGACAACCTGCGTTGCCAGAGCCAGACTGAAGAACCACACAAATACACAGAGTTTCCTTTAAAGTAAAAATCTCATATCTTTTTTTTTTCCTTTATTTGTCCTTTCAACCAGACCCCACCAGGGATGGAGCCTCGTGGTGGATCCTTCCCCCCCTTAGGAATGTTAGCTGCTTCGGCCTTGTGACTCCCACGGGACTAGCTACTGGGCAGGAGCTGAGCGGGAAGAAGAAGGCGACACGGAAAGCGAGCCAGGCTGGGTGTACAGAGCAGGCAGGAGCGGAGTTAGCTGGGGCTCCTAGTAGTTCTGCAAAGGGGGAGAAGGGAAAGCAGCAGAGGTGGAAGGGGGGGGTGAAAAAAAGCACGTTTCCAGCTTGAAGTGGTTGGTGGGCAGTTTCCTCCCAAGGCTTCAGTCTTCTCCGCCGCAGAGATTCAGGAGGGCCCGCTGGTAATCTCCCTTCGTGTCTTGCTGCAGAAAAACCCAAAACAGCAAATTAAACCTCTGAACGATGCAACCACAGCAGTCCAGGCAGCCCTCGGCTTACAAAAGTTCGACTGAAGTTACAACAGCGCTGAAAAACGTGACTTAGGACCATTTCTCACACTTATGACGCTTGCAGCATCCCCATGGTCTTCAGATGCTTGGCAACTGGTTCGTATTGATGACGGTTGCCGAGTGGTGCAATTTTGCAACAAAAGTGGCAAGGACAGTCATAAATGGGGCAAAACTCACTTAACAAATATCTCACTTAGCCACGTAAATTTGGGGCTCATTGTAGTTGTAAGTTGAGGACTACTTGTACACAAATTAGGCTCAATTCCACACACCCCCCTTGATCGCCAGATCACAGCAATGAGACATATCGGGGATTCCCAACCCACATTTGGGGGGTGCAGGGCTTGGAAGAAAAGGCCCCCTCCTCGATGGGGAGGTGACTCTCTTGAAGGGACTTTAATTCCAGCGGCTGAGGCCCAATCCATCCTCTGGTCTACCCACCTGGATAAAATAATAGAGGGATTTTCCGTGTTTCCTCTTGAATTCACTCTTAATTTTCAACATGTCAACTTCAGCTCGAGAAACCATGACTCGGATTAAGACCTTGTCCCGGGTACCTTTGCCCTGAAAATTAAAATACCTGACGCTGAAACCGAACTTTAAAAGCATTTCCTTCTTCTAAAAGCATTTCTTACTTCTTCTGAAGTAAAATTTAGACTTCCTTGAGAGAAAGATGAGGAAAGCAACTTGGGGGAACATTTGCATAAGCAGAAGAATTCATGCCAAAGGGTTGAATGTCTTTCCCATTTCTGCATCCTGATGGGTGGGTGGGGGGACAGACCCCTGGGGGCTCTAGGAATTATTTGATGATAGAACAATTCAGTATCGGGGAAGAAATGTCCAATTCTAAGATCAGTATAGTTTCGAAGCAATGTCTTCTCTCCTGACCTGCTTTTAAGTGACGGATCAATCGATTAAACTCAGTTAAGTCAGCGTTCTACCTCAAAAGATTGACATTTATACTCTATAATCTCTTCAATTGTATCTCTAACATGCATCTCCACCATAATCTCACTCTGCAGGGATGTTGGTGGGGGGGTTAGGGTTAAAAAGATGGATGTAAGAATTGAGCTAAGCTTCGATTCCACCATCGGGGCTGCCATCTTGACTTTTTTGACCCTCCCTGCCCTCCTGCACTTGAGCCAGGCTGCTTCTCCAGGGGCCTTACCTTCATGGAGTCATAAAGCCGATCGGCAAAGTAGAGCTGTTTGTTCTGAATGCACTGGACTGTGGGAGGAATAAGGTCAAAAATGAAGGTGAGATTCGTGACAGACAAAAACAAGGAAACCATCAAAACCTTTTGCAAATGTACAACACTCGGAGACAATTTACACACAGGGTGAAGACCGGGCTAAAATCTCAAAACCCCACTTTCTAAACTGGAAGAAATTGAAATTAGGGTCACCTTAATTTGTGATTTCTCCTCCATGTAAAAGGAAATCAATTGGAATTTTGTGATGTCCATAACAAATTATGCAGGGGCCCAATCATTGCAATGTATTTAGAAAGCAAATAATCTTTCAACATTTGCATTCCATTGGACACTCATAACGGACAGGGATTTTGAACTATGTATTTATATTTTGCTGAAATGCGGCTACCTGGTGTTAATTAGAAATGCAACTACTTCTTCTTCGAGAGATGGCGGGATGCAATAAATCCATCCAAGGACGTGCGCCTCAAGTTCAGCTGGCGATTATTTTATGCCCTGACCTTGTGCAGCCTAAAAGGTGTCACAGATCTGCATCTTGAAGACAACCAAGGTTGAAAGCCTTCTCCTCACCGAACCAATTTCTCAGAGCCAGGGAGATCTCTTCAGTGCCCTGGTGTTCTCACATCCCTACTTCTGCTTTAAAGGGGGGGGGGGGGAATCCAGGAACTGTCTTCACCCCAATTTCCCCTCCATCAGGCCAATGTTGGCTTCCAGCAAAATGAGTCCTCTGCTTTGGAGACAGCCCGCCCAAGATGCCCATGTCCATGTTAAGATTGTCCCCTCTTCCTCCGTTTCCTTACCGAGATTAACGAAGGCGATCTCCAGATCTCCTTTGACTTCCTTCTTGATGCTCTCCAGCATATCGTAAGGACTGTAGCTCTTGTACCTTTCGAAGACTGCCAAGGCAAGGAAAAGGAAAGTCCAAACAATTGCTTGGGTGAAGACAAAAACAAAGTGCTCTACATGGGGCGGCCCTTGAAGAGCATTCGGAGACTCCAGCTTGTCCAGAATGCAGCCGGGCGAGCGATCGTGGGTGCGCCTCGGTTCTCCCACGTCACACCTATCCTCCGCGAGCTGCACTGGCTGTCTATTGGTCTCCGGATACGCTCCAAGGCGCTAGTCGTCA